ACACTCGCATATATACAGTATAACATTTACTTTCATAAAAAAGTAATTATATTTACTTTTAATTCTAATTTTCTATTTTAAATTATACAATTCACCCCATAAATTTACATTTTTGAAAGAAATAATACATGACAATGATGCGAAAATAACTTTTTATATAAAGTTTGGGGTATTTAAATTACATATGCAAGTTTGGAGTGCTTACCTCACACCCCTTCAAAGTTCGGATTGTTTTTATTATTTTTCCCTAAAAAATAAGACTCAGTGTGTTACAATTTGCAAAATATACATTTGTCTTAGGGCCTGTTTGGTTTAGAGTAATCTCACATGCAGGCCCGAAATGTTATGCATAAGATGTTAGATGTTCATGTTTGGTTCGCGGGGTTTTTAAAAATTCGGGAAAGTTACATTCCTGGGCGTGATATGGAGGGCAATGTTAAACTCATACATGCCTTGAATTATCTGACATTCTCGGGGATGACCTAACTCTTTTCCAAAATTACTCTCAATTAATTACTACCTCCATCCCAAATTGTTTTGTAAAATCGTCGTTTTTTTGTCAACTAATGTTACGGTTAAATCATCCCTGTCGGTAATTAATTCAATTTTAAGAATAAAAATTCACATATTAGAAACTACATCAAAATCTCTCTAAAGTTATAAAATCTCAATTAAAATTTAATTAAGAATTAAAATCCTAATTAAGTGAATAAAATAAATCTGTTTGACTCAAAAAGTCAATTTAGTAACTCAATTTAGGATATAGGGAGTATTTCTTTTCATTTAATTTCTTATTGACTCTTCCATCTTCAATTGAGCCGGGGATAAACTTTGTTTACCATATTTTCTCATCATGTTATGACAATATACTTTTAGTACTACATATGTCCCACTTAAAGGTTCTCGCTCATTATTCTCCAGTTAACGTAAATGTTTTTAATCTTTTACTTTAAATATTCAACTTTTATGATAATAAATTGTATTTTTTAATCTGATTTTTGTATACGCAATAGACAATTGAAATTTTTTTAAATTGTATTTTTTAATGATGATAAATATTTGTAGATTACTCTTTGAACAAAGGTTTTCTCATTTCTATATTGGATCTACAATTTTTTACAACTAAACATCGTTTACTGAAAAATAATCCATTTAGTATAAATTTTATTTATTATTAAGATATTTCATTTTTTATTTTAATTAAAATTACTTTAGATGTTGGTTGTAATAGATTTATTGTATTAAGAGAAAATATTTGCAAGGCATTGAAGTAAAATCATTTTATGTTTCGATTATCACCTACCACTTGACGTGATAATCCTTTTATAGATTTAACTAAGCCGACCTTTTAGGGAAAAAATGTCTATTAAAGCATGCAACCTCTTCGTTCAATAAGACTCATTTTGAGTCAATCTAATGAAAAATAGATCAATCTCTAAAATCGTGTTATGCAGTTGGTCTGTTGTCACTGCCATCACCTTCATAAAATCAGAATGTTACAAAATTATACATGGTTTATTCTAAACTCTTTTATCAAAGGAGATCGGACTAATTTTTTCAATCCTAAATAATAGAAAGGCTAATAACTTTAAAAATTGACCATACCCATTATTAAATTATAAATTATAAAAATGTGTAGTTATTAGTTTTGAAAAAACAGTAAGCTACAGATGAAATCAAATGGATAAAAATAGGGAATGAACAATTTCTTTTTTTTATTTAGATAAAGATGCTTGAAAAGATGATGTTCATTTGGATGCAACCAAGAGTTATAAAAAAATTGGTTCTTTTGATTGGAAAATATTGACTGAGAACATGTTTAAATTTTTTGTTGAAGAAAGACATACTCAATAAATAAGAATATGCATTATTAACCGATGTTATAATTGGCTAAATATGTGACCTTCCATTACTTATGATTACACACATATATATCTGTGTGCGCGCACACACATGTAGTATAAGAAGAAAAATTCGGTCTATCCCGTGCACGGCACGGGTAGAGATGCTAGTATCATTAAATTTATGTGACGGCGATGATTTGAATTAAATTACATTTTGAGTTGAACTTAACAAGATCTCATACGATACTACTTCTTACACATGACTTAACTACATGAGTAAATATGAATTACTGTAATAAATATGGTCAAAGTTTTCTTCTTTTGATCCATTTAACTATTTAAGTCACAAGAACCTATATATCGTTATCAAAGGGAAAAGGCTGTAATATGGTACAGCCTCAATTGTAACCTATCTACTAACTAGCAATAAAAAAAAACGATATCTCGCACGTTGCTACCTACTAGCTGGCACTAAAAGGTACGTATTACTCCCTCTGTCCCTAAAAGAAGTTCCATTTCACTATTTAATTGGTCAACTTAAATCACTCTTAATCTCTTACTTTTTATATCAAAATTTTATAAAAGTTGAATTATTTTTTGCAGGCTTTGTAGCGGGTTTAATGTAGTTTCTGAATATGTAATTATTTTTTACTAAAAATAATCAGAGTTTTCACAGGCATCATTTAACTTTATCGTCGGTCAACCTTCGTAATCCGCAATTGGAACAACATTTAGGGACGGAGGGAGTATGTTATATACGGAGTATGTCTTTTCACCTAAGCCCGATCTATTTAAAGTTATACGGAGTATTTGACACAATTAACTGGAACATTTTTGGAGTGTTTTTATAGTCATTGTTAGTTTTTAAAGACTGAAAAAATGTTAGAAGAAAGACCGTAGCTGTTTGATAAAAAATTGACTGTTTGATTTAGTTCCGTTTTATATAACAATCAACTAATTAGTGTTAAAAGCTACAGACTTCCCCTTAGAAGTTACTCAGTGTAGCATCTCGAAAGGATTTTATTTTTAAAAATTAAGGCTGTTAATCATTACCGTACCAAACATACAACTAGAAGTGTATATAAACTTTTTAAATAATACAAAAGCTAGAAGGTAGGATTTATCTTCTAGTTGAAGATGTTGTATTTTTAAAATATCTTCTTGTTGTGATTAGTTTGGACTTGTCTAGTTTGGTCTGCTTTGAAACTGAAATCCCTCCAAGTGAAAATATTCATAAAGTTAATTTATTGGTAATAATGTTTCAACTAGCTTATTAGAACTATTCATCAGAATTATGCATTTATAAATTATATAGTACTAAAAAAATATAACAAAATGACCAAATTGAATATTATGGTTACATGATAATCACATATTAGTCACTAAAGTTTCATGGTGATCAAATTAGACACTAGAGGTACATGTTAATCTTATATTGATCACTAATGCTTCAGATGATAAAAAAACACAATTCTAACGATTTTTAAATTCGTCATTTTGGGCTGGGCACTCACGATTGTCTTCCTTTGGCAATAGAAATCGTTAGCACGATTTTTTCTTTCTTTTATAATGTTAATAAAGGGGTAATTTGAGTTTGCACCCTATATTATTGTCTAAATTGGACTTTGCACCCCGTTTTTAAAACTCTTTGTTTTTGCACCCCAACCCCATATGAAAAGACAAAAATGCCCTCAATTAGAAATATATTGAAGGTCAACAAAATTGTTAATTGATAGACATTTTTGTCTTTTCATATGGGATTGGGGGTGCATAAACAAAGTTTTTTTAAAACGGGGTGCAAAGTCCAATTTAGACAATATAATGAGGTGCAAACACAAATTACCCCGTTAATAAACTATCTTAATTGATGTATTTAAGAATATATAATGGATAATTTAATTAAGGACATTTCATCTCACACGATCTTTATGGAACTTTGGAAAATGTCAAATCATTAAGAGTTAGCGAAATTAATAAAAATCTAGTTATATTATTATATTTATGAGATTTTCTTAATTGGAACGTATAATAATACATTCTAAATCTAAATACATCAATTATGTTGTTTTTAGGTATAGAACATAAAGGAAGGAGAGTATTAACGATTTTCAATGACTGAAAATGAAAAACCTTTGCTTGGTGTTCATAAATTAAGGAAAAAGTTAAATTTGTGCTTATTTGGTTCAGTTGAAACGTTGATGACTAATGGGGGATTCCAATATAATCGTAGTGTTCAATTTGATTCAATTGAAATCGCAGTGTCAGATATGAGATTACCAAGTAACTATAGCGTTATAATTTGATCGTTTTCTCAAAAAATACTGAACGGTCAAGTTTGAAATATGATTATGATTTCATATGGTGTACAAAAACTCAAATAATATAAAAGAATTACGTTAACAATATGAGTAGTAATGAAAAGAAAACCATGGACCAATGCAAAAGGTGGATATATATAACATCATGCATAGTATTTATTATAAGACCTGTGAAATGAACTCACATCAAATTGGTAGGTCTTAGTGATAGCCTTAGCGGCAGGAAGACGGAGAAGAAGACGGAGAACCACGAAGAACGCAAGCGAGAGGCCGCTTCTATTTGCCATTTACGAAGACACAAATGAAATGTACTTTGGTAGTTGAGATATATGAATGTGGTAATTAATGATCGAAAAGAAGAAAATGTGAATATGTTCTTATAGAACCAAGGAATGCAATGTGGAGATGAAAGGGTCACTGTTGCTTGCAGGCACATTGTGATTATCAGTTTGTTAAGAGAAGGGGAGAGGAGAGGGTGAATTACGTGCATAATATTTGAGTAAAATATTGATTAGGTAAACAGAAAGGGAAGTTCCTCAATGGCCAATGGGCATATATGCACTAGGGATATATATCCTTGTAAGCCAAATTACGTTGATAAAGACACTATCTTCTGTAATTTATGACTTCGTAAAGGATATTGATAGTTGACTGACGTAGAGGCTTTGGAAATCCACCATATACTCAAGCTAAGTTAGTCAAGAATTGAAGAAGAAGAAGATGTCGTTATCCCAAAAAATAGATGGAGTTGATGGATGTGTTCAATCAGACAGATCCGATAGCTTAGAGCTAGTAGGATCTTTATCTTAAAGAAAAAGAAACTAGCTAGCATATAGAAGCTGGTTTTTACGTACGCATCCCTTTTAACATTAACGAGAGCTGGTTTTAGTCCTCATTTGGCCGAGGGAATTGGTTTTAGATCGATGATTGGGCTTGTTTATGGAATTATGGGGAGTAGATTATAGAATATAGACGCTCAAGTGGGTGTAGTGGCGGACTGAGCTTGTATGAAGGGTATGTTTTGTTTTTTATAACTCTTAGAAGCCAAGTCTGGAATTTGATTTGATTTGATCTAGTCTGGATTATTTAAGTCCGATTTGTTATGATTTGGAATTCAAACCAGTCTAATTAAAAACATCTAAAGTGAGAACTAGGCATGTCTAAAACCCCAGCCCGTAGAGACCCGCCCTACCCCGAGGCATGTGGGGCCGGTCCGCCCCGGCGCCCCGCCCTATCTTGAAAATGGGTCGGGTCTGCCCGCCCCGTGCATACAATGGAGCGAGTACGGATACTAGTATTGACCCGTGTTGCCTCGCCCCGCTCTGACCCGCTCAATATATACATATATGTCATTTTTAAAAATTATTCTACAAATTAAACAATCATATACATACATATATTCATATATGTGTGTGTGGGATTAATAATTCATGAATTACTTGATCTTTTAATATATTAATATTTACATTTTGAATAAAAAAATTACATTTTGAACTAGATGAAAAGTTAATGGTCAATGTGTTTTTATATTTAGCCTTTATATATTCATTTATTCATATAAAAGGAGTTGACTATTGATAAGTCCATTTTTGTACTTATTTTTCTTATCAAATTTAAGCGATTTTTGAATGAAAATAGAAAGAAAAGACACATTTTATATATTTTGGTTCAAGTTTCATGAAATCAGGTAAAAATCACATCCATAATATGTTTAGCGGGATTTCGGGTCAATTGAGCACAAAATGAGTCAATTTGAGTGACAAATGCATTTATACCGGAAGAAGCAAGCATTTTATCAAGGTGATTCAGAAGACAAAGTTGAAGAGCAAGAAAAGCCGCATCTGCCAGACAAAAGTGGCCGAAGGCGCCCAAATAGGCGCCCAAAATGGAGGCCTTCGCGGCCGCCTACGGGAAAATTCAGAAGTCAACCTCGCTTTGACTCGGGACCAGGAAAAGACCGAAGGCTGCCGACACTGGACAGAAGGCGGCCGCCTACGGTGGCCGCCTGCGGCACAAGGGGACGAAACCAACCACCGATCGGCCAGACAAGACGGCAGGCGGCCAGACAGGACGGCAGGCGGCCGCCTGCTGGACCGCCTGCGGCGGCCGGGGTCCGCCGGGATCCGTCGGGATCCGATCTGCCAACGAAAAGATGGCAGGCGGCCATTTTTGACAGAAGGCGGCCGCCCTCTGTGGCCGCCTACGGCTGACGGGACCGCCACCGACGGTCTGCCGGCGACAGGACGGCAGGCGGCCAGAGGCTGCCGGAAGGCGGCCGCCTGCCCGGGCGCCTACGGGAATTTTTCGGCTATAAAATCCAGGCTTTTTCCTCAACTCAAATACACCAATTTCAAGCCCAAATCAGATCAAAAAGGGCGTCTTCTTCCTCTTCAAAGCTCGGATTTCCACCATTGTTGCACCTTCAACTTCAATCTTTCATATCTTTCTCATTTTAGCTCCAAATTGTGAGTTCTTTATATGTATTTTCATCCTTTCAATGAGTAGAATCTGAATCTGTACTTAGTTTTTTCTATCTGTGCTTCTAAAATTTCCAGAAAATTATTCCACTATTTCGCATTTTCTTCTTAAATTTGAATAAAATAGTTGTTGACATTAAATCCATTCCAATTAATTATATAGTTGTTTACTAGCCTCAAGGTAGTTATTTATCAAAACAAAGTTAATTTTTACGAAGTAGAAGTAAATTTTAATTAATTCCGGCATTTAGTTGTTATTATTGCATAAATTAAATTAAATACTCAAAAAGGTAAAAAATTAGTTTCTGTCCTAATTCCAGTTTAATTCACAGTAATATCACTCCCAGTAGTCAATATAAAATTTAGAACGAATTTAAAATAATTTTAGTGCTTTTTGCATTTTCTAGTTAAAATTGGGAAAATTATCAATTAGTTGTTAAAATTGGATTTTAGGTTCAAAAATTCGTGAAAAATTCCAGAAAGTTATACTTTAGTTTCTACAAGTTTATTGTTCCAGAATATAAGTTTTGCTATCATCCATGTTTAATTCCTTGTTAATGTTGAATATATTCATTATATTGTTAATTGTTAAAATGATCTTTATTAGCTAAATTTGTTTTGGGCATGAATTGACTAAAGGAATATGGATTGACTTGTTGACCAAAAAAATTAGGGATTAAAATTAATAATGGGGACTAGTTGTTTGAAATGATGAAATAGTAATTAATAATTGTTAGCCATATTCATTAATTAAATTCTTGGAAAATTATCTCTAACTTGTCTATGAGATTAGAAAATAATTTAAGCCAACCATATTCGAGCACATTAATAAGGCCTAGAAATAGGATAATTTAATGAAAGGGATTTACATCTTGTCTATGAGAGATAAATTCAATTGCTTAAATAATGAGTTTAACTAGTTAATGAATTTGGCTATTTTTATTTATTAAAATATTGGAGAATTATTTCTACCTTGTCTATGAGGTTAGAATTTAATTCAAGCCAACCATTGTGAACACATTAATGACACCTAGAAATAGGATAAATTAATGAAAATAGTTTCTATTCTTGTCTATGAGGAAAGAATTTATTAGTCCAATTTTAGTTTTAATTTCCCTAATTACTAGGTCCAAGAATATATCCATTTCTAATTACTCAATTCATTGCCCTTATTTGCATCAATCCATTTAAGTTTAATATTATATTTTTTTTCCTTTAGTCTATTTTTGAGCCATCATTAGTATTTGCACAATTTAATTTACTTTCTTTTCCAAAAAGTAGTTTAGAAAATCAATCAAAAGTTTTAATTTGGAAAGCTTCCAATAATTTGCGATAACCTGTGACTGGACTTAAAATCAAGAAGCTCCTCCGCCATTCCTCGAGAGACACGATACTCGGGGAAAAACCGAAAGGTTAGACTCCGTTTTACTACAACGCCGCGAAAGCGGTTATCAACTATTCAAGTCTAAATCGTTTTATATTCAACCTTTTTATTGTATTGTGACTTTGATTTATTATATTTGTTTTTTATACTTGGAGTAATTATATCACACAATTAGAAATGTGTACTAGCTACTAGGTTACTGCGGGACGGGACGGGTTATGGGGCAACATCTAATGACCTTGTGCGGGTCACGGCATGGGGCGGGTCCACCTAGTTATGTCACGGGACGGGTCCGGATCCTGTCCTAGTGAAAACCATCTTTCCTATGCGCAAGGAGACCTCATCATATCATAGTACCAAGTACAAGCAGGGGCGAGTACCGAAGTGGGTAGAGGGTTAGATGTCCCTAATCTCCACCCAATTTCAATATGATAAAAGTGTGATGCTTAGAATCAGCATTATAAATTAATTGCAGGAGTGGTAATTATGAGCTTAACTTTGAGCGGTGGCAGCATATACGTAGGATCGTTTTTCATCTATTACAAAGGAAAAGCAAAGCACGTTGAAGAAGTCTTTGGCCATACCAAATTAAAGTCACGTTTACTATTTTGAAAAGCTATTACTTTTAATTAAAAAATCTAATAAAGTGGAAGATGTATGTTTATCTTTTAGGGTCACGTTAATAGAAAAAGTAAAGATTAAAAGTGAAATCATTTTTCCTAGAGCTCGAAAGAAAGCAAACCCCAAGAGGTGGGAAATAAATTCCTCCAGCACCTGGAAAGTAAAATACCAAGGTGCTACTCCAAGCCAACTCGCGAAGCAAAATATCGAAATCTACAAGAAAAAATGTTTTTATAGAGAAGAATGTACACTAACTTATACCCTATCATCTTTTTATCTAAAACTTAATTAGTGAATTGAATATGATTGAACATAAATATTTTGGTGTTGGTATCGTTACATACCGAATTTCTACCGACCAAACTATATCTAAATAAAAATTTCCAATCCAATTAAATAGATATAGTTTGGTCGGTAGAAATTCGGTAGAAATTAGATACTTGTAGTTGGGAAAAGGTACAAATATACCCCTGTAGTATGGGTGTGGGTACAGATATACCCCTGTTCTATTTTTCGGAACAAATATACCCCTGAACTTTTAAAAATGTGCAAAAATATCCCTCATGTTCTTATAAAGGGGCAAATTAATCCTTATTAACTTTAAATTAATAAAATAAATTTAAAAAAAAACCAAATATAAATTATAAATTCGAAAGTTAAAAAAAATTAAAAATGTAATTGTGTCTAATTCTCCCTTTTATAGTTTTTATATCACAATTTAATATTGTTTAAGCATGAAATATTATTTCAAAATTTTACTATATGTTTAAGATTCTTTCGAAAAGGTGCAACATATGTTTTGCAAAGTAGAGAAAAATTAATTTTTTGCATTCTTTGCACTATAAAATCACATATTTTGAAATAATATTTTATACTTATAATATTAAATTGTGATATAAAAACAATAAAGGGAGAAATGGACACAATTACATTTTTAAAATTTTTATTTTTTAATTTTGATTTATTAATTTATTTTTGGTCTTTTTTTGAAATTTATTTGATTAATTTAAAGTCAATAAGGATTAAATTGCACCTTTATATAAAATGAGGGATATTTTTGCACCTTTTTAAAAGTTCAGGGGTATATTTCTTCCGAAAAATAGAACATGGGTATATTTGTTCCTCCACATATACTACAGGGGTATATATGTACCTTTTCCCACTTGTAGTTTGGTATAGCGGGTTGTATTACTAAACATCTTCTGGCAACCTGCCAGCTTATTCCGCTATTTGGCAACCTGCCAGCTAAATTCCTAAACATCTTCTGTCAACCTGCCAGCTTATTCCGCTAGCTAAACTCGCTGACTGAATCCGCTATTAACAACCCGCTAACATAACCCACAAACCGCAAACCGCTAAATACCAAACACGCTCAATATATATAAATAAGTATTAAGTTTTTAAACGGGTATTGAGATTAAGAACATGATGCATGCGTCTTCAAAATGGCGCACATGAAGTTTCTGATTTAAGCCCTTGGCCAACTAAATGAACAATTAATATTGAAGAGTATATGTTGTCCAAAAGGGTTGTATCTCTAGCTCCAATGGGTCCGGAAGCTCTGACCCGACAGAGCATATGAGAAGTTATAAATCACGGTCTATTTATACTCGTGCGTACTATAAGCTCAATCCAATACATAAGAGTTCTAACTTTCACCGATGCGAGTGTTTGAAAAGAATATGTAAGAGTGTGAGAGGAATAGAGGATGTTATTTATATGATTATTCCAAGATGATACTTGTATTAGAGATCGATCTGAGTTAAACGCATCAGGTAATTTATGAGCAGACTCTTCTGAAATGCTTTGACAAAATAGAAAATATCATGATTGTTAATTAGTCAAATGTCAGGGCAAACAACAGCGATTATTAGTAAAAGACTGTATAATAGGATTAATAGATTAATACGGAGTAGTATTAACACATTACGCAATCTAAAAAAACACTATAACGAGGAACAAAACATGCGTATAAAATGGGAATGGGACAGTCTTCCTATAATTTTTTTTGAATGGATAAATTAAAATTAATTTGCATAATACCCTGTAATAATAAAGTATTCTTTTTTTTTTTCATTTTGGTGATTGACTTTAGTATATATTCCACTAATCCCTTCTTAAAATTTTCTTTTCATGGGATTGTAATTAAAAAAAAATGGTCAGCATTTTGACATCAATCGATTGTGTGATCATAAGATGTGTATATGCAACTTTGAAGTTATTTTACTCCGAATCAATTAGCTGAATGGAATTTAACATAGATTTTATCTAGAGTACGTAAAATTTTAGTCTAACTTATTACTTTTTATTTGATCAATCTCTAGCTGCTTTGGTCAAAAACTCAGAGTTGATTGTGATTTATTTGTGTAATATTGTGAATTGTTGACCTGATCTAATTTAATTTCTGCGTTGTATGTCTGTGGTCAAGTAGGGATAATCATTTAGCTCGTGGGGGCCTACTCGTCCCATTTGCCAAAAAGTCCGGCCCGGCCCATAAGGGCCATGCGCCGACCCAGCCCACTACTTGAATGGGTGGACATGGGGTAGAGTATTTGAATCCTGGCCCAGTCCATTGCTCCGGCTTGTCATACCCCATCCCAGCCCAGCCTATTAAGCCCAATTGAGCTCATCCCAGAAGAACTTTTATACATTGTTAATTTAATACCCAAACTTTATAATTAGTAACATATAAAAGTAATGTTTTTTTTTGGAACTTTCTCTCTCTAAGGTTTGCCGCGAGGTTTGCCGCTAGTTCTGTTCGTCCGCTATCGGCTTGCGCCGAGGAGCGGGGTTGGTTTTTCTGGCCAAACATTTTGGATATGTGACAAGAGATTCGAGAGGAGGGGATAGATGTTTTGGAGCATGGTGAAGCCGCAGTTCTGTTTGCTCCGGCAGGATTGTGGACGGGTTGGGATGGCTTTGTCAGGCAAGTCTGTTCGGCGAAGCAGCGGGCGGAGCGTCAGCTTCTGGCAGGC